AGAGAGAGAGAGAGAGAGAGAGAGAGAGAGAGAGAGATTATGTACCGTATTTTAAAAAAAAATAACCAAAAAACATACACCACAGACGATGGTAAAATACTTTTGCTATGTTACTACAGTAAGTCAATGTTCAGGAATAAAGCATCCAGCGGGTGGACTGGAGGGGAAGGAAAAGGAGAAAAGGAGGGGGGGGGGTCAAACCTGAAGGTTTTTCTTCTCTCTTCTTTCTACCTGGCTGTCATTATAGCTTCTGCCAGCATTAAGTGGTCATAATGGAGAAGTCGATATGCTTCTGGACAACTCAAACAAACTCAGTTAGTCAGTGGACTTTCCACAATAGGTCGATTAACACTCACAGTGAGGAAAGCTTATGTGTTTGTGTTTGTGTGTGGGTGTGTGTGTGTGGGGAGGGGGGGGGAATCTAGTGTAGGCATGAAATGAAAAAAATAAAACAACGAACACCAACTCTCTGGCAATATCCACATCCAACCTATTTGGTTGGAGGGCGCCACTGGTAGGTCCTACTTCTTTACTTTCCCCTCTGTTGTTTTTGTCAGTCTGTCTGTCTTACTTTTTCCCAGCACTAAAAGACCATTATTGTGTCGATGTGCTTCTCTTTACTCAAACAAACAAACATCCAACCTGCTTCTGTGGTCAAGTAATTCACCCCTTCACATGTATGTGAGTTCGATTCCCACGTGAGGAATTATCTTATCTAGTATCTCCGTTAGTCTGCTTGGATGCTGTATCCCACTCAGCCGGGGCTGGGCCGGACATGCGGGGTGCAACAACAGCCCACCTCCCAGATCATCTAAATAGTGTCCATGGGGCCGTAAAACACTTAAAATTACAATTAAAACACCGAAACCTACAATGTAAGCCTAAAACTACAGTTGAAACACTTAAAATTATGTCAAACTGTAAAATTACAATTAACACACTTGAAATTACAATCGAAATACTTTCAATTAAACCACTTAAAATTACAATTAGAATTTTTAAACTACAATTAAAGCCTAAAACTATAGAATTAAAACACTTAAAATTACAATTCAAACTTTTAAATTACAATCAAAACACATAAACATAGTTAAAGCGCTTGAAATTACAATTGAAACGTTTAAAATTTCAATGAATCTAATGCTTTGAATAACAAGCCAAGTTCACCTTAAAGCTGCCCTCTACGATTGGCCACTCGATGGAGCCATCCGGATCACCGGAAGTGGCTACCAGCAGGCAGCCATCTTGCACGCTCCCTTCGAGCTCACCCACCAGCAGGGGCAGCGGATACGTCACCGTCTCGCGGTCGCATACGTTATGCACACGCAGCTTCATGACGCCCTTTCGCTTCCGGCTGATGTCATCATACTGCTTCCGGTCCAGGGGCTATCGGTAAGAAGGTCGTTAATGCTGAAGGCGGCCACTGGGGACAAGAAATATTCAAATATCTTTCTCTAGCGCCCATAGCAAAACATTATATTAGTATGAACATTATGACACCCAGCGCAGTTGTTAGAGAAGCAATGAAAAATGTCAGGTAAATTTAGGTTTAGAAAAAGTTTTACAGCACTCGCGACACAATAAGGTCATATAAGTGCCAAAGATCAGAGGTGTTACAAGAGAGTAACAAACATAAAAAAGAAGGAGGAGAGATCAGGACGATAGATGTTTGATAGGAAAGAAGGAGCAAACCACACTAGAGCACCCGCCAACCACCCACTAAGTCAATTTAATGATTTAACAATAATTGCTCCCCCTTTCCCGTAAAAGAACAAACAAACAATAAAAACAAAGCAAAAACAAAGAACCCACACACAAAAACAACCAAAACACAACAATACAAACAAAACAATTAGTACAGATCGGATCTATGAGCAATCATACGCCACGGTTGCAATATGAACAATTGGGAGCACAAAA